TGTATTTACATCAAGGGGACCCTCTCTACGGAGGCCGCCATGTTTTTTACAGTAGTCCAGACTGGACAAACTAAACACCTTTTGAGTTTTTATGACAACTGAAGCTACCACAGGTTCTCTGTCATGTTTGGAAGGAGAGGGTGAGGTGAGGGGTATTCAGCTGCACTTGCAATTTCACCACTAGATGTCACTAAATTCTACACACTGTACTTTTATTTAAGATAAATTCTTTTAACTAATAAAATATATTACTGCTGGTTTTAGTGTCACATTTATTACCACATTTATATATGTTGACCTGAGGTCAAGCTGGTTAACTCAGAGCAGGATAGACTTCTGCTAAACTCCTGACAAACTGAGTGACTCCTCTGCGTGTCTCTTCCCCAGGACATATTTGTCAGCCTCTCTCAGGTGGATGGTATGTATTTCGTCTGCAACATTGACGACTTCAAGTTTCTGGCTGATATGATTCAGCATATCCCACTCAACCTGAGGTCACGCTACGTCTTCTGTACTGCTCCCATCAACAAGAAACAAACTTTTGTATGCACCTCCTTCCTAAAGGTAAGGAGGAGTGGGAGTGAACGAGGGGTGAGATTAAATGAGGTTATTGGAAAGAGAGCAGAGGATTGGCTGATGAGCAGTTGCAATGCTGAGGTGGAATAAACAATAAGTCAGTATTGGGGTCAACAGGAACTGTTGTAAAATGTATAAAGTCCAGGAGTGTCTGAATATATTTTTATGATCTATGTCAAACTTTATGTTTATATCACAAAGATAAAACAAGATTAGTTCCTTAATAAAATTAATCTCCTCAGCAAGCAAGCTTTGACATTTATGTTTAGAAGAAAACTCCTAAGCTTGTAGTCACAAGATGTAAAAGCATTTTGATACTAGTTATTTTTTTCTAAATCATGTTGTAACTTTCATTATTGCATTAATACTAATGGTAATATTCTGATACTGGTGAAGACGGTGTTTCATCACATCTCTTTGTGTTGAGCTTTGTGTGCTGCCCGGCACTTACAGTTTGTTTTCTTCTTCTTCTTCTAATTCTTTCAGTTTGCTCGTCAGTTCAGTCGAGATGAACCTCTGACCTTTGACTGGGTCTGTCGACATATCAGCTGGCCTCTGACTCAACCCAAAAACATTAAAGACCTAGTTCACCTGGAAGCTGTTCATGATGTGTTGGATCTTTACCTCTGGTTAAGGTAACACTAGCTTTACCTCTGCCAAGGAGCTTTTTGTTCACCCCTTTGTCTGTTTGTCCGTTAGTTATCATCATTATGCAAAGATAACTGAATGGATATATGTTTACATTTTATGTAAATGTTATTTTCAGTTCTACATATTTGTTGGCATTTAGGTTTTATTTTTATATATAGTTACACATTATAAACTTTATGTTTAACTGTAAAATATCAAGCCTCAATTACATTTCTTTGTCATAAGCTATTCATAAGGACAAAGAAATGCTAATGCTGAAATTGGCACCAACCTCCAAAAATGAATATCGGTCGAGTTCTGTTCATGTCTGCCTTCCTCTCTAATCCTTTTATGTGTTGATGTCTCTCTCTGTCTGCAGCTACCGATTCATGGACATGTTTCCTGACACTGCCTTGATTCGAGAAATCCAGCAGGAGCTTGACGACATCATCCAACAGGGCGTCCTTAATATTACTCGTCTCATCAGAGCCACTGACGCTAACATCACTAACCCAGTGCAGACACAGAGCAGCAGACGTGAACAAACGAGTGGGAGCAGGGGAGCTGCAGACGGTCATTATTTGACCAACAGCAGAGGTCAGAGTGGACAGAGAGTCTCAGGAGGGACGGTGGACAGTTCTCTGTCTAATCGCCTGGTGAGAGACGGGCTGCTGACACCTGATTTGCTGCGGCAGCTGCAGAAGGAGTTTTCCAAAGATCAGAGGCAGAATTCCACCGACCAGCAGGTCCTCGATAAAGAATTTCACAACAATAACAACAAAGGGAAAAGACGAAAGAAGAAATGAAGAGGTTACGTCTTGGTGTCTGCACAGAGTCTATACTGATGCACAGAACCCAATGATGTAAACCTTGAATCAGATCTGGTGGTTTGAAATGAATCAAGACAGTTAATGGGAATCTGTGAGAGATTATAAAAAGATTTTAAACTGAGCTGTAAAACAGCAACATGTTGTGACATGAAATCTCACTTTCACTGTGCTAAAAGCTCAATCTATTTTTTCTACCAATGTCCAAACTGTAACCAGTGATAGGGAACGTCTCTTGTCCAGGATCCTGTGAACGAGCTGCTTTGTTCTTGGTTCTTGTGAAGATGCAGGTATCTGGGGAGAGATTCTCCGTTTGTCTATAGAAGCAGAAAATAACTCACAGAATCACCTGGGAAACATTTAAGAACAACATCAAACTGTAGTGAACTGACTTGTTTGGGTTTATAAATTCACCCCGTGGAGATACCACATTCATTGTCAGTTGATTCAGGATTCAGTAAAACTCAAACTGTCATAAATGCTATAAAATGCACTTTTAAGTTTTGCAGTTCTGGTCTAAGTTTCCTGTTTATTCTGTCAACTCAACAAATACAGTATAACCAACTTGTTTTGGGTACACCTGAAGAATTCACTTTCAGCTACTCTACTGAAATCACATTTCTGTGAGTGTACAGCAGACAGTTGGAATAGGTAAGAGTTAGCGCAACCCTGCAAGTGTATTTTTCTTGTTTGTAAATTTAGGTTGTCAGTAAATAAAAAAAAAACTTTGTTTTTTAATGTTTCTTGATTTTTTGAGCTACAGTTGAAACACTAACTGAAGTAATGTGAATCTGTGTCTAAATCGCCTGAATGAATGGCAGTTAATATAATTCAATCAAAACTATTGTGTGACTTCAACTGAATATGAGCATCATCAAGCTTGAAAGATAAATAACTGCTAAAAACCATTGTAACGAGAGGAGTTAATATAGTATGGGAATAAAACCCAGTCTGGATGGAATGTAAACCTAAAGAAGAACCGGTACAGTTCCAGGTTGGAGCTATAGAATGACACTCAGTAGAGAGCCAAGTCCTATTAAATTAAACCCTGGATCTGCCCACTGATAAGGGTACGCACCAACATTTTATGGGTTTTTTTCCTGAGCCATGCGGCATCCATCTACAAAGTTTCACGGAAATCCTTCAAGTAATTTTTGTGATATCCTGCTGACAAACAGACTGATGAAGGCATATCCTTGTCAGAGGTGATCCACAGACACGTCGCTTTGCTTTAATTCAGTGTCAGTAAGTTGATAGACTTTATCTTTCAAAGAGTCATGAGGCTGAGCTACGGCTTTTCTAAAATGTTAAACACGTCACTGCCTCATTTCCACAACTTGTTGCGAAACTCACGTATCAGTGACTTGGTCATATTTTGAAGATGTTACGATTCTGCACCAGAGACACTAGAAGACAGGGCTGAAGTCAGAGAGGAGGAGGAGGAGGTGGTGGTAGAAAAGGGTTTGGCTTGTTAATCATTGAGATAGTGCTGAGGCTGCTCTCTGTTCTCAGTCAGGACAACATGAGACAATCAGAGTGAGACAGGAGGAAAGAAAGACATTTATACATCTTAATATCTGAATACACTTATAACCTATATGGAAACTGTCCACGGACTGCATCGTGCACTGACACAGAGACACAAACTGAGAAACAAACCAAGTCAAAGGAGTTTTTGTTGTGTTGTGTGTTTCACAACAACATGTTCACTCTTCAACTTGCTTCCCTCTTCTTCTCCAAAATCCAGGAGGACCCCACAAAGAAGGTAAGAGACGTCTTTCAGTATGTCATTTGCAACAGATGAGGTTTTATGAGACTAAACAAGATTGTTGTGTTATTTAAATAAAAGAGAGAGAGCAACAGAAGAAACATGCAGAGAGAACTCCAGCCTCCAGATGTTCGCTTAAAAAGAACTTGTTGCCCATTGAAGAGCTGGTGATAATTTACTGCATCAGATTTGTTCATCTTCAGATAACTTCTGGTTTACTTTACTTCTTCTGTTCAGGTCATCTACAAAATCACAACTTTACAACATCCTGATCTGAGCAGCTGTTATGTTGTTACGTTTAAAAGCATGAAATCCCTCTGATTTTAAATGTTGCTCTGTTTCAGCTGACAAAAATGTCTGCAGATCCTGAGCATGCAAATTCAGTTTCAAAGTTTTCTTCAACTGCATTGTATTGTCAATGTGCACACAAACACGTTCACAAAATGAGAAAGTTAAGGCAGCGCTGAGAGATAAAGGTGCTGTAATGATTAGTTAGTTCCTGAGGAATGATTAACACACTCAACTCCTCTGTTGAGATCAGATGAGATCAACTCACACTCACAGCGGCAAAATATTGACACACTCTCGCACACATAAACACAGAGTGACGGGCAGCCACAGTGCACTGCAGCCAGAAGGACTTTGTCCCATGAACGTGTTGCCCTGGTGATGGTTTGGCTGAGCACACAGGGTGGGAGAGTGGAAATGTGGATGTATTATGATTTTTGGAATTTATGAAGAATAGCAGTCAGATTGTTCTTATTATTTTGTAGTTATAATAAATAGTTATGCAGATGCTTCTACACATTTTAAAGCATTTTAAACCACATGAAAACCATGCAGACTGAAGAAACCAGCATCTTTGCCAAACAAACAACTCCTATATCATACAAATCTTTACAACAATAATGTGATATACTATGACTACTGCTATTACCAATAATAATATTCATCATCCTCATCATCATCCATCCATTATCCCTACTACCTTTCCTTTGAGGGTCACATAGGGAGCTGGAGCCAGTGCAAATCACTGCGCTAATACTACAACTACTACAACTGCTACAACAACTACTACTAAGTTATGAATTCATATGGAACCTTTCATACATAAAATGCAGCTCAAAGTGCTTTAGAACAATAAATACTGAATAAATGAAATAAAAGCAAATGCATAAAATACATTAAAGCATGTAGAGGCACATGAAATAAGAAATAACAAGGAAAAGCTCTGACAAGAACAATAAACAAATATAAAAGAATATAATAAATCACAATAGAAAAGCAGCATAACTAAGCTTAGGAAATGCAAGGTTCTTGAACTGATAGAAGGACAGAATAAAAAGGAAGATGTGAGAAGAGGATTAAAGGAGAGATGGATGAGATCTCATTCTTTCTTCCTCTCCTTCTTCCTCTGACTCTCTGTTTCCGTCTGTCTCATTCAAGTTCAGTCAGTGATGACTACATCAGCCTGATGTTTCCTTGTTTCTGTTTGCTCTGTCTTTAGGTGGACAGCTTTCTCTACTCAATGTGTCTCCATGACGACCAGCTAAGTGATATCTCGGCCCGTTTCCAGGCTGAAATGAAGAAGGGGCTTTCAGCAGAGAGCAACGCCGCCGCCGCTGTAAAGATGCTGCCAACACATGTCCGCTCCACTCCTGATGGATCAGGTTACTCACATTAGGGCTCTTCACACTTCTTCAGTCCCCTCACGTGGATAACTGTACACATAATGCACACCTACAGCATACAGATGATATGTTTTGGTCTCTCTCCTTCACTCCTGCAGAGAAAGGACAGTTTCTGGTGTTGGATCTCGGAGGCTCCGCGTTTAAAGTGCTCCAAGTTAAAGTGAGAGAGGAAACGGGGTTCAGGAGAGGAGAAGTGGAGATGGAGGAGAGGATTTACCCAATACCACAGGAGAAGCTTGTGGGGAGCGGAGCAGAGGTGAGAAGGTGGAGACAGGAAAGATGAACAATAAATAAGCAGGGGGATGAGGGAATGTGGAATTCAGCAGGGAACACAAAAGACACTTTGGTAAAGATAGGTAAAAAAAAAAGCTTTTTTTGAATCTTTCCATCTTTTTCTTGACTTTGTTTCTCTGTGTCCTTCTCTCTGGCTCTGTCTTTAGTTACTGGACCATGTGTCAGAGTCTCTAAAAGACTTCCTACAGGAGAAGAACATCAGTTTGGAGAAGAAACATCCTCTGGCCTTCACTTTCTCTTTCCCCTGCGAAATGTCCGCCCTCGAGCAGGTGATGTCACTCACTCATTATTCATAACCTGTACCTGCAGCATTAACCTCTCTGTGTGTCAGCATTGCCGCTGTCTTTTTAAGATTTCAATTCTAAAACCCCCTGACCTCTTCCCTGCCTTCTGTAGGGATCTTTGTTAAGCTGGAGTAAGAACTTCCGGGCTCGGGGCCTTCAGGGGAAGGATGTGGTTCAGGCCCTCAGAGAAGCCATTGGCAGAACTGGGGTATGAGCTTTTCTTCATTCGTTCATGAGACAGGCAGACTGAGACATGAACTATTATAGCTTATTTAAGCCGAGACTTCTGTTCAAAGAAACTTCTAGTCATTCTGCAGTATTTGGGTCTCATTGCTGACATCATCTAAACTGATGCCACCACTGAGAAACTGTGTCCACGACTGTATGGGCTTTTGTTTACTAAGGTAAAGATGCATCACTCTGTAACTCACTCTGCAGGGGATGGATACAGAGGTGTTAGCTATGGTGAACGACACTGTAGCCACCATGATGACCTGTGGTTTTGAAGACAAGTACTGTGAGATAGGACTCATCATTGGTGAGTACATTCATATCATATTTCTGATTTATACTTTTACACAACTTTAAATCAGAGAAGTATTGTATTTTTTATACGACTATATTTATTAGACAGCTGTAGCACTGTATAGTTAAAATACACACCTTCCATTTCATACATTTCTACTAATAAAACTGAAAAGCTGCAATAAAAATATTTAAATAAAATAAAATGATCTGACACCTTCCTTATATTACATGTTATAATCAACTGGCAACATATGAGGAAATTAATGTTCCACCTTTGGTTAATATACTCCTCCCTCTAGTGGTTCACTGCGATATTGCACGTGTGTGTGTGTGTGTGTGTTTGTGTACTTTGCAAACATTTTCACAAAGTGATTTAGAGTTAAGTTTAGAATTAGGATAAGGCTAAATTAAACTCACATTAAGGTTAGTTACTGACTTTTTATCTTAAGGATACTTTAATGTAGCCAGTGCAAGTTCATTTTAATGATTCCAATGAACCTAATAAATACAACTGTGTGTATTTGCTGTGTGATGTGTGTTTAGGTACAGGCACCAATGCGTGCTACATGGAGGAGCTGCGTCACATTGACCTGGTGGAGGGAGACGAGGGCAGGATGTGTGTGAACATTGAGTGGGGGGCGTTTGGAGACGACGGGGCTCTGAGGGATTACGTCACTGAGTTTGACAGAGAGGTGGACGCAGCCTCCAACAACCCTGGGAAACAGATGTAAGGAGAGTGATGCAATAATTGTACAGGCAGAGCATGAGTGACACAGTATTATATTTCAAGCCACTTATTTCTCTGTTAACACCTGACTGTAAATCCTGATTGCAGCTTTGAGAAGATGGTGAGTGGGATGTATCTGGGCGAGTTGGTGAGGCTGGTTGTGTTAAAGATGGCTAACTTGGGACTGCTGTTTGATGGACATGTGTCCAGTGCTCTGAGGACCAAAGGAAAAGTAACCACTGCACACGTGGCAGCCATGGAGGAGTAAGTCTCCTTTAATTTAGTGTCACGCTGCGTCTGCCTGAGAACAGTGAGATGTTCTAAAGCTCTCCATCTTTCTCAGGTATAAAAATGGTCTGGAGAACACCAGACGCATCCTCACGGGCCTCGACTTGACCCCTTCAGACAACGACTGCATCGCTGTTCAACATGTCAGCACCATCGTG